TAGTTCCTATCACCTGAAGCCAGGGTAGACTCCAACCTGCCTCTGCAGGCCACCAAGGGCCAGCTAATTGCCACACCCTTCCTTGATTTCTCGTTTGTGTGTAACACGACAGCCACAGTCTGGAAGTGAGTTCCCACCCCTCTGCTGGTACTTTTTCAGTTACCTCAGGGGTTCCTCTCTCCTCTTTCTCTGTCGCCTCTTACATATAGACACCCCCTCAGGTCCTTCTCCACCTATTTTTCTCTTCTGAGATTTATTTTCAACTTGCTTTTTTGTCTTTTCCACTCTCATTGTGTGTCCCAGTGGCACACACCCTGATAGCTACCACACTTAACATCTGTATTTCAGACCCTGCTCTTGGACGCCACAGTCACCCTTCTGATGGCCTCGGTGTGCCTTACTCTGGCTATTCCACAGGTGGCTAGCCCTGACAGTCCCGGGGTTGGTTTCTCTTTTAGGCTTCCCTTCTGTGGCGCAGCCCCATCAGCCAGCTACTCAGCCCTCAGGAAACCTCCGACATGTTTATGGGTCCCACTCACTAGTACTGTCTTCTCTAGAATGTTCTTTCCCCCCCCCTAAGATGTTTGTTTGTTTATTTATTAAGATTTCTGTCTCCTCCCTGCCATTGCCTCCCATTTCCCACCCCTCCCCCAATCAACTCCCCTTCTCTCGTCAGCCCAAACAGCAGTCAGGGTTCCCTGCACTGTGGGGAGTCCAAGGACCTCCCCCCTCCATCCAGGTCTAGGAAGGTGAACATCCAAACAACCTAGGCTCCTACAAAGCCAGTAGGATCAAAACCCAGTGCTATTGTTCTTGACTTCTCAGTAGTCCTCATGTCTGCTATGTTCAGCGAGTCTGGTTTTATCCCATGCTTTTTCAGACCCAGTCCAGCTGGCCTTGGTGAGTTCCCGATAGAACATCCCCATTGTCTCAGTGTGTGGGTGCACCCCTCGTGGTCCTGAGTTCCTTGCTCATGCTCTCTCTCCTTCTGCTCCTGATTTGGAACTTGGGGTTTCAGTCCGGAGCTTCAATGTGGGTCTCTGTCTCCTTTCATTGCCTGATGAAGGTTAATATTCAGGAGGATGCCTATATGATTTTCTTTGGGTTCACCTTCTTATTTAGCTTCTCTATGATCACGAATTATAGGCTCAGTGTCCTTTATTTATGGCTAGAAACCAATTATGAGTGACTCTAGAATGTTCTTGACATCCCTCTGCCCATTCTACCAACTCTCCGCTCACTGTGTCATAGAATAAGAACTCTTCCTTTGCTTATATTGATAATATCACCACATGGTCATAATTTATGTCTCAACTCTTTCCTAAATTGTCCCTAGCTTATTAATTATCTATTGACAGTGTTATTTTTTATTCTTAAAAAATTAGAGTAATTTCACATGCAAATAATTCAGTATGGCTGATTCTTTTAGAAACCTGCATGTAACAGAACAACTGATGTTAACTTGTTACTCAGGCCCAATGACAGAGAAGGAAAAATGCAGAGATGTTTGACAATACCTGTAGTTTCTTTGAATGTTCTATAGAAGTAAAATTTTGTAGGCTGCTTCACCTTACTACAGTGACTATACTATAAGTACCCTATCCAAAGGCCATAATCAAGGACACTAAAAATGTCAAGAGACACCAGACCAAGCTCATTGTTGTTTAGTTTCTCTGATGTTGGCAAGGTTAAGTTCATTTCCTGAAATCAGAACTAATTATATACTTAAATGGTCATAACTAAGTCATGTCTACAGATGTGTTTATCTTAGCCAAATCCCAATTTACTCATTTATAAAATAAAATTAATGCTCTGGTTGGGGCAAGAAAGTAAAAATCTCAGCAAAACCTATAGAACAGCTAATTATTAGAATATGAAATTGCTGGGTAAGTGCTGACTATTGCTGATGACTTACTAATCCTTGAGTGTGAGGCGTTGTGTCCTACAGAATAGAAAACAGGGCAACTAACTAAATGTACTAAGAACTGACCTAGAAGAAACACTGCAGACACGGAGTCAAAAAACTTCTCAGTGCTGATATACATAATTTCCTCTGCTCCAAAGTTTAGTTTTTTTTTCATTTCATTATTTCTAATATGGATATATATCTATTTCATGTATATCCTATTTTGAAAAAGACTTCTAAGTTTCCGTGTGTTACTTTATGATGAATGACATTTGAAGTACAGAAGGCCTTCAGCTGAGTACAGCCCTGTGCTCTACCTCTGTGAAAGTCCCAGTCATTCTGGGGAAGGGCAGCCGAAGCTCAAGGTGGTGTGGACACCGTGGAATACAAATACCTTTCTCTGTGTAAGTGCTGACGGACCTCCAAGAAGAGTTCCCACCAGCGATAGTTCATCTAGGAGGAATCCAGTAAAGCCAGACAGGCACCTTTGAAGGTGTTGGCTGCGGAGCCAACCCCACCATGTGACCTACCATCCTGGGAACAGCTAAGTCTGAACACAGCAGTCGTCCGTGCACTTGTTTTCTTGAAAGAAAACCAACCAGACCACAGAGTTATTTCTTTTATTATTTTATGTGCGTGAGTGTTTTGCCTGCATATATGTATGCGTACCGTGTGAGTGCCTGGAGCCCTCGCAGGTCAAAAGAGGATGCTGGATCTCCATGTGACTGGAGCTGTAGATGGCTGTGAGCTGCCATGTGGGTGCTGGGAGTTGAACCCAGGTCCTCTGCAAGAACAAATGCTTTTAACTACTGAGCCAACTCTCCAGCTCTGCATTTGCATTTGTACAGTGCGACAGAGCAGATGGGCAGACTTGTGGTTTCATGCCCATGCTTTCTGACTCGCTTTCAGACAGTGGCTGTCAGGTTACACACCAAGTTACAATCCCAGCCTGCATTTTGTTGTTGTTAAAAATACACTCACACAGGAAAAAAATCGAGTAGAGAAAACATATCAGCAGCAATTACCTGTGAGTAGAACTGCTTCTGATTTCTATTCTGTTCTTTCGCTTGTCCATTATTTTCTAAGATTCCTTTCAGCAAACATGTTTGCTTCTGTAAAAAGGAAGAAAAATTTTAAATTGCCAACCACAACAATCCCACATTTGTTTAATAGCCTCAAATTGTACAGAAGACTGATGAAATTATTTTCGTGTATAGAAGACAGTTAATTGTGGGTATTCTGAAACATGGTAAGATGTTACAGTTGTAGAAATTCCTGAATGATCAAGTGATTTAGGAAATAACAGGCGTTTCTACGTGGAGAAAAGAGGAACTTCTCAGCCCTCTGGAGCTCTGTAAAGATTCAAAAGCAGAGGAAATTCCTTTAAGGCAGAGATTTTCAGCCTGTGGGTCATGAACCCTTTAGGGGTTAAATATCAGATATCGTGCATACCAGATATTTTCATTACAATTAATATTAGTAGCAAAATTGCAGTTATGAAGTATCAGTGAAAATAATTGTATGATTGGGGCTCACCACAGCATGAGGAACTGTATTAAAGGGTTGCAGCATTATGAAGGTTGAGAACCACTACTGTAAGGAAACCATGCTGCCCAGTGACGGAGGTGGGTCTTGTATCTTATCTGTTGCTTTCATTGGTTAACTAATAAAGAAACTGCCTTGGCCCTCATAGGACAAAAAATTAGGTGGAGTAGACAGACAGAATGCTGGGAGAAAGAAGCTGAGTCAGGGAGTCGCCATGGTTCTCCCACTCCAGACAGATGCAGGTTAAGATCTTTCCTGGCAAGCACACCTCGTGGTGCTACATAGATTATTAGAAATGGGTTAAGAGGCTGAAACTAATGGGCCAGGCAGTGTTTAAAAGAATACAGTTTCCGTGTAATTATTTCGAGGCATAAGCTAGAGCTAGCTGGCGGCTGGGAGCTGGGGTGGCAGGGAAGCGGCCCGCAGCTTCTCACAACAGCCCAGAGCACGGGACACTCCCTTCAGAGACCCTCTGTTCCCATTGTAGACGGCTGCCAGCAGCTTTGCTTTTGGTAAAGTGGCGATGGGAAGGAAGAGAACAAAGGTGTTTCTTTCCAGGGTCAGAATCTTTCTCCCTTCCCGTTGGAGAACAGGGGACTGAACCCTTTCCTCCCAGTCGTAAAATGTTCTATCCTAAGATAGTAAGAGACATGCATCCATTAGAACTCAGATTAAAGTGTGCTCGCTGGATCGGGTATGTGAGTATGTGTGCATGTGTTCGCATGCGTGTGCATAGGGAACCAATGCTGTAAAGCAGTAAATAACCAGGCCGCCTAACGATGACAGCTGGCTCTGTTCACTGTCTGCTGGACTCCCTGCTTCAAAAAGATTCAGAAAAACAACTTTACGTAACTTGTGTGCCTTAGAGATCAGTGTTTCTTGGAATTTTTATAAGTTAAGTGACATACACAGAGGGCTTTATTTGGGTTCTGGGTGAAAGCAGAAGAAGACGCAAGATTTTCAGCGGGGATTGTGTAAGCAATCAAATGGGTTGCTACAGTACTTTCATTTAAATGTTGCATCCTCTGTCTGTTGTCCCTATTCTCTGATTCAAAATTTATTGAGTTCTGGGTAGATATTTTGAAACATCTCAACAAGATCTGTAGTGTTGAGAAAAGGAGTAAAAAATACCATAAAATGCTAAATTAGTGTTGATTTTTCTTATTCATAGCAACAACTAAGAGAAGAATGAAGACTATCTCTTTCCAGTCTTACATATTTCATGCTCAGCATGCATGCAATTCTCCCTGGAAGTTCTCATCAGAACATCTGTGCCCAGATGTAGGTGAAGAGTGTGTATACACTAGAACCCAAACGAAGTGGCAACAAAGTCATACCTTCTCTAATCAGGGCTGGGGCATGAGTCTGTGAGCTTGACTTGAGATAGTCAGTATTGGGTGACAATGATAAACTTTTTCTACATTTTCCAAGAAATCAGTTAGCCTTGTTGAGTTGACATTATCAGAAACAAAAAAAATGTAATGTTATGTTTTTTCTTCTTTCGTGTGTGTGTGTGTGTGTGTGTGTGTGTGTGTGTGTGTGTGTGTAGTTTAATGTCTCTAGAGGCCAGAATGAAGAGATTGAACCTTCAGTGTTGACTAAGGCTGGTAACTTGGCTGTCCCTACCCCACCTGAGACCACCACGTTCAGCAGCCCCGAGGGAACGGAAATCAGAAATCCCAATTTGATTTTACAGTCAGAAAAGTCTTTGTACAAAGGTAAGAGACATCTGCCACACAGCTGCTGTATCCACAATATGAGGGAGGCACACGAGAGTGGTCTCTAGAATGTCCTCTGAGGAAATGCTCTAACTTAACAGGGAAGACAGCGCCAGCTCTGACTGAGTCATATGGAACTCGAGAGGAAGCTGTCTGGGGAGGAAGTGTCGTTATTGAAATGATACAGCACAGAGTTTAACCTGAACATTTAGATTTAGATTTTTTCCCCTTGTTTGCCTTGGCCTCACCTGCTCTGTGTTCTTCTCAAATGTAGATATTTGGGGTTTTGATCCTTGGTGTATAACTCAGATTCTGATCCAGCAGCAGATTTTCTATGAGTTACTATATATACAGAGAGAAACACTATGTATGTTTTGCCACATACAAAATAAATGACAATATCCAGGTCCAACAGAAGCTTAGATGGACTGGAAAACAGGTTCCAGGACATGTTCTTTAGTTCTTGATGTAGGGGTTGTGTAAATCTGTTCTTTTCTGTTAGGTGTAAGGAGTTTTCATAGCAGAAGCAGATTTAGAGCTCAGTTTTTAAAAATATGCTAAGACACACTCCAAACGTGAGGAGAAGTGGGTGGAGTTGGAGTGAAGACTGGCTTTGTTATAGAGACAAGGCTTATGATGTGTGATCCATCTCCAAGAGAGCAAGTCATAGCAACTGGTTTCTGTTTGACTTTTCTTACCTTGGGATAATTTCTTCCGGTAGAAAATAAGAATCAAGGCACTCCGCATTGTTGATTAATAAAAAGGGATTTAATAAATTGGAGGCTCTGATTAAATTAACAGAATATGGACTTATTAGTTTGACTTTCATATAGGAGTGCACTCCCTAAGTTCATGGTAACTGGCATGAGATGGTCATGCCCTGTCTTTTTGGGTTTGCAACAGTCGTCTTTTAAAAAGAGAACTGTAATATCAACTTCCCTTTGGTGCTTGTGTATTATGTAAAGTAAAAGACAGAAGTCCTGTGACGGACACAATAGTACACCCTTGTAATACCAGCCCTTAAAGGAGTGTAGCTTGGGCTACCTAGTGAAACTGTTTTCAAAAAAAAAAAAATCTATCTTCTCCTGTCAGCTGATTCCCCAGAGATATTAGTTAATAGATTCTCACTTACACCTTCTTGGAAATGTGCAGTTTAATGGAGCTTCATAAAGATGAAATTGAGGAATGGATAGCAGTGGTGGGCAGAATATTTGGGGTAATATAGAACCCTCCCTTCAATAACTTAGACACATGTTTCTCAACTGGCTGTTACTATGTATAAAGAATTAGAAGTTTATACTACTTCACTGCATAAAGCTTTTGTTTTCTGTTTTCCCTGATGTCTGCAGTGAGAGAATCACATCTAGTAACCTCCACCCCCTTTGCTCCCTAGACCCAAGATGTGGGGAAGCCCTGAAACCCGGAAACTGTGGAGACTATGTAGTTCGGTGGTATTATGACAAACAGGTCAACTCTTGTGCTCGCTTTTGGTTCAGCGGCTGCAACGGCTCCGGAAACAGATTCCACAGTGAAAAGGAATGCCAAGAAACCTGCATTAAATGATGAACAAGGGCACTAACCTGCTTCATGCAGCGGTTTAGAAAGAGCCCAACACAAACCGTGCACCACATCAGTGCTTACACTAAGTAGTGATAGTTCATAAGTGTATAGACTATTCACAACCACCGCCTATAATGTATAAAACAGGATATAATGTTACTAACTGCTCACTCAGGGGAGAAGGCTAAGGCTCTCATGATGTTAGTGGCGTCTCAGCAGTCACCCAGCTGACGGGTGGAAGTACAAGGGATCTGGACCCAGTGTATGACTTTAGAACACAGGCTTTGTCTGCCTCACAGCCTTCAGCGTGGCCCGGATTCCTGATCATTCTATTCCACATCTGATGTCAGATCAAACCCCACCCTGCCTGTACCCAGCTCTTACAGCTCCTTCAAGGCCCAGTCAGTGGAGAAGAATTTGTGATGGGAAAGACTTTGGTTGGGGTGTCGGAAGGGGTGAGAAGTTTACATGTGAGTGCGGGGATAGTGGCGGAGGACGGCGAGTGAGGACGGAGTGAAGAAAGAACCCCAAAGTGATAGCAGAGATCCTATGGCAAACGGACACTTCCATTCTGCCTTGGTATCAAAGCCTTCTGTATGCTTAAACTTTGTAAAAATAAATAAATAAATAAATAAATAAATAAATAAATAAATAAAGCAGGTTTTACAGGTTTCCTTTAAAAACATGTGATTGAGGCTCAATTTTTATGGTGAGGGAACGAGAATTGGGCCGGCCATTTTGTATTGATTTTTTTCCACCCAGTGTGAGAAGGCTGAACGTTCTAAGATGGCATCTTAACACATCTACAAGGTGCTGTCTTCTCCCCAGCCTGCTATTCTTATTCAAGCCGGACACCAAAATGCTCCAGACTAAGGAAATGGACAAATAGCCACGCTGGCAAAAGCGACTTAACAGATGTTTCCATGGTGTAATTAAAATTGTGTTATGTAATATCTTTATTAAAAAAATACATACAACATGTCTGTCAGTTTTAAAACAGGATGAGACCGGCAGTAACGACATCACCTACTGATTAGACCAAAGCACTGACTCTCTGGATCCTGATTTGCCTCTCCCTTGCTACCCTTCTATCCCAGGCATATCCTATTGCGTGCTTTGTGTCATTATTGGCTTTTCTATGTAATTTTACATGTAAAACTAATCTTATCTCTATGAATGCTTAAGCAGTATATAGTTAGTCTTGTATAGCTTATAGCTTTGTAAGAATGATACTGTATTCTAGACATCTACAACTTGATATTTTAATTTAACTTTATAATCAACCCATGTTTTACCATAAATAAATATGTTCCCAAATAATTTATTACTTAGATTCTAGACAACTTTTACTGAAATACGTACTTCTCTGTGATTTGATAGATGACATCATAATTCATATGCATACATTTATATGAATGCCATGCTTGCAAAATATCGATGAGAATATATAACAATCTATTTAAACATCATATTTAATCATTGCTTTGGCTGATATCAATTGAGCTGTTTCTACCTTTATTTTTTTTACCATTCCACCACCGTCACCCATTTTCATAGTTGTGTCTCTGGACACACATATTCCCATTTCTCAAGGGTATATACCCTAGCTGAAATTTCTGATGTGTGTATAGATTCCAAATGAGCGTGTATCATGCCAGTTTTCTCCCCGAAGTGAGTCAGTTTCTTGTAAGTTCCTACAGGTGTGTCAGAGGTACTATTGTCTAACTCATGTCAAATATGCCACCATTTGCTACTTAATGCTGCTTCCTTTGGCTTAGATGACTGCAAAGCAGCATTTTGTGTTTAATGTTCTAGGATACACCTTAGACAGCTTCATTACCTCCTGTGTTCCTGCTTCTGGGAAATGCCTTTTTATAAACAGGGAAGATTGTTTTTATTAGACTGAACTGTTTTCTTTATTGAGTTCTTGGAGTCCTTGTATATATTGAGTTCTATTTTGCTTTGTGTTTATATTGCTAACATGTGTACAGCCCGCCCTCCTTTCTCCCTGTCTCCTTTCCCTCCTGCTCTTCTCTTGTAGTGATGAGGGGAGCAGGCCTGCTTTTTGTCCCAGCTCCTGCATGGTTAGCTTTACACCTGAAATAACAACACACAAATTGTATTCATTTAAACACTGCTTGGCCCATTATATCTAGCCTCTTCTTGGCTAACTCTCACATCTTGATTAACCCATTTCTAATAATCTGTGTAGCACCACAAGGTGGTGGCTTACTGGGAAAGATTCAGCATGTGTGACCTGGCGGCTGGCTCCATCGCGTCTGACCAGAGAGGAGAGGCATGGCAATTGCCTCACTTCCTCCCAGCATTTTGTTCTGTTTACTCCGCCTACCTAATTTTCTGTCCTATCAAAGGGCCAAGGCAGTTTCTTTATTAACCAATGAAATCAACCCAAAACAGAAGACCCTCCCACATCATTCTCTCTCATTTTTTGGTGTTGTTTTCTGTTTTAATTTCTGTTTTCTTTTTCTTTTTTCCATTTTGAGACAGGATTTCTCTGTATAGTCCTGACTGTCCTGGAACTTGCTCTATAAACGAGGCTGGCCTTGAACTCACAGAGATCGACCTGCTTCTGCCTCCAGAGTGCTGGAATTTGAGCCATACACCACCACTGCCCAGCTTCTGTTTTAATTTTGAGTGCAGTGAAGTTGGTCAATTTTATTTTGCACTATTCAGCTTCTCAGCCATCTCTTCTGGGGCAAAGACTTCCAGGACCAGAAATCAGCAAGTGTTAGCAGCATCTCTCTAGTCCCACCTTTGTGCCTGTGACCAATTCCTTACCTTCCTGTAGCTCTTGGGTGGTTTCGGAGTAGCATCAGCTTTTGTCCTTCATCTTCCTCAGTTGACCTTGAATGAAGATCTGAGCTTGGACAGGAAGGTAATGGCTCTATCACCTTTCTCTTCTTCTGTTGTGGTGGAATTAAGGGCTTTGAGCTGCTCCTGGTCCTTCGAAAGCCTAGCAATGCATTATAAAGTGTGTATTAGTAACCACATGCTGTTGGGAAAGTCAAAGGATTTCAGAATGTCTCACTGCAGTTTTGACAGGAACAAAAGTATTTATATTCCCCTTTCAAGCTTTTCATGACTACTTCCACAGAAAGCTGAAAAGCAAATGTGTTGTGTTGATGTGGATTTCTTCTTTTGTCTGGGCATCCTTTTCCTCCTTCTGGACAGAGTCCTAAGACTTTCAGGACAATGCACAAACCACCCCTTTGTGTGGTCACCCATGTCTACCACTGAAGACTCACACACCTACCTTCTATCTTTTCCTCTCTTCACAGTGACCACAAACAAGCTCAAATGCCTTGCACATTGTGGGACACATAAGCTTCTTACACAGCTTCAGTGGCTTCAATAACAAAAATGTGTTAAGGTATGGTTACATGGGTTTAAATCTCATGAACTAAAACTAGCATCTCTAGTGTCCAGACTGAGTTTCTTCTGAGGACCTGAGGGAGAACCATTTCTTTTTCACAACATAGAAGGGTCATTTATATTCATTGGCAAGGGTCCCATTGTATCTCTGTCTGTTTGTCTGTCTCTGTCTTCCCCGTCTGTCTCTGTGTCTCTTTCTTTATTCCTTCCCTTCCCCCTCTTTCTGTTTATGAAGACAAGATCATACTCTGTAGCCGGCACTTTGTATGGTCCTGCTTTCCCTTCAAAGTGCTAGGATGGAAGGCATGCATACAAGACTTTATTACAGTTTCTTTTTAATTTTTAATTTTACAGTGTGAGTTATTATTCCAGCTAAGACAAGGACTTACTACTTATGCCATGGTGGCATAAAACTCATGGTAATTCTCCTGCCTCAGCCTTCCCAGTGTTGGGATTACAATTGTGCACTGCCACTTCCAGCTCCTCCCTCTGTTCTCAAGATCAGCAGTATTGGTGGATATCTCTCCTACTGCCATCTTTCTGGATATTTGACTGGGAACGAGTAATTGTTTTCATTTCTTTTTAATTGTTTTTATTGAGGTATATATTTTTCTTCCCCCCTCAAATTTTATTCTCTTCCATGATTCCCATGCTCCCAATTTACTCAGGAGATTTTCTCTTTTTCTACTTCCCATGTAGATTAGATCCATGTATGTCTCTCTTAGGGTTCTCATTGTTGTCTAGGTTCTCTGGAATTGTGATTTGTGGGCTGGTTTTCTTTGCTTTATGTCTAAAAGTCATTTATGGGTGAGTACATTTTATATTTCTCTTTCTGGGTCTCGATTACCTCACTCAGTATGATGTTTTCTAGATCCATCTATTGCCCGCAAATTTAAAGATGTCATTATTTTTTCCTACTGTGTAGTTCTCCATTGTATAAAGGTACCACATCTTCTTTATTCATGTTTTGGGTGAGGGGCATTTAGGTAGTATCCAGGTCCTGGCTATGACAAATAATGCTGCTATGAACATAGTTGAGGACTGTCCTTGTGATACAATTGAGCATCCTTTGGGTATATACACAAAAGTGGCATTGCTGGGTCTTGAGGTAAGTTGTTTCCTAATTTTCTGAGAAATTTCCATACTGATTTTTCAAAGCAGTTCTACCAGTTTGCACTCCCATCAGCAATGGAAGACTATTCCCTTTACTCCACAACCTCTCCAGCATAACTTGTCATCATTGTTTTTGATCTTAGCCATTCTTATAGGTATGAGTCGTTTTGATTTTCATTTCTCTGATGGCTAAGGATGTTGAACACTTCCTTAAGTGTCTTTCAGCCATTATAGATTCTGCTGTTTAGAGTTCTCTGTTTAGGTCTCTACCCAATTTTTTTAATTGGATTATTTATTCTTTTGATGACCAATTTCTTGAGTACTGTGTATATTTTGGAGATCAGTCCTCTGTCCTATGTGGGGTTACTGAAGATCTTTTCCCATTCAGTAGGCTGTCATTTTGCCTTATTGACCATGTCCTTTGCTTTACAGAAGCTTCTTGATTTCATGAGGTCCCATTTATTAATTGTTTCTCTCAGTGTCTGTGCTGCTGGGGTTCTATTTAGGAAGTGGTCTCCTGTACTTCCCACTTTTTCTTCTATGAGATTCAGTGTGACTGACTTTATGTTGAGGTCTTTGATCTATTTGGACTTGAGTTTTGTGCATGGTGATAGATATGGATCTATTTTCATTGTTCTACATGTTGATATCTAGTTATGCCAGGAACATTTGTTAAATATGCTTTTTATTTTCCATTTGATATTTTTTGCTTCTTTGTCAAAAATCAGGTGTTTGTAGGTGTGTGGATTGATGTCCAATTCTTTGATTCAGTTCCATTGGTCCTCTTGTCTGTTTTTATGCTAATACCAGGCTGTTTTCAGTACTGTAGCTCTGTAGTAGAGTTTGAAGTAAGGGATTGTGATGCGTCCAGAAGTTCTTTTATTGTACAGGATTGTTTTGGCTACCCTGAGTTTTTTGCTTTTCCATAAGAATTTGAGTATCATTCTTTCGAGGTCTGTGAAGAATTTTGCCGGGATTTTGATAGGCATTGCATTGAATCTGTAGATTGCTTTTGGTAAGATTGCCATTTTTACTATGTTAATTCTACCTACCCAAGAGCATGGGAGATCTTTCCATTTGCTGGTGTCTTTCCATTTGCTGGTGTCTTCTTTAATTTCTTTCTTCAAAGATTTAAAGTTTTCGTTATATGGGTCTTCCACTTGTTTGGTTAGAGTTACTCAGGATAAATAAATTTTATATTATTTGTGACTATAGTGAAGGGTGATGTTTCCCTGATTTCTTTCTCAGCCCATTTATCATCTGTGTGAAAGAGGACTATTGATTTTTTTTGAGTTAATCTTGTATCCTGCTACATTACTGAAGGTGTTTATGAGTTGTAGGTTTCCTTGGTAGAATTTTTGGGGTCACTTATGTAAACTATCGTATCATCAGAAATAATGAAAGTTTGACATCTTTTTGTTGTCTTATTGTTCTAGATAGATTCTCAAGTACTATATTAAATAGATACGGAGAAAGAGTGAAAAACCTGTTCCTGATTTCAGTGGGATCACATTGAGTTTCTCTCCATTTCATTTGATGTTGGCTGTTGATTTGCTGTATATTGCTTTTATTATGTTTAGGTATGTTCCTTGTATCCCTTCTCTCTTCATGATCTTTATCATGAAGGGATGTTGTATGATCATAGTTTTATTTTTTTTTCAGTTTGTTTATGTGGTGGATTATATTGACAGATTTTCATATGTTGAACCATTTTTGTATCTCTGAGATGAAGCCTACTTTATCATGTTCAATGATTTTTCTGATGTGTTCTTGAATTCAGTTTGCCAGTATTTTATTGAGTATTTTTGCATCAATGTCTGTGAGTGA